GCAGAGAGGAGAGGTAGGGGCAGAAAGTTCTAGGAAAGAAAAAAGGCTTGCCGGGCATGGTGGCTCATGCCTGTAATCCCATCACTTTGGGAGGCCGAGGCAAGAGGATTACCTGAGCTCAGGGTTCAAGACCAGCCTGGGCAACTTGGCAAGACCTCGTGTCTACAATAAATAAAAATAAAAAATCAATGGTGCATAGTGGCACATGTCTGTATTTCCAGCTACTTGGAAGGTTAAGGCGGAAGGATTGCCTGAGCCCAGCAGGTTCAGTGTGCCAGCACACTCCAGCCTGGGCGATAGTGAGACTCAAAAAAAAAAAAAAAAAAGGAAAGGAAAAAGACTCGAGGGCAGAAACCCAGGGTGCACTCCCGCAGGGCTATGAACTAGCATCTTTTCCCACCTGTATATGGAGCTAATTTTGTACAATGATCCTCTACACCCAGATTCCCAAAGCAGTTGAGGCTTGTGCAAAGAACCCCGAGCCAGCATGGGCACAGGCTGCACTCTGAGAAGATGACCGCCCTCCCCAAATCTGTCATTCAATCCATCCACAGGTTTCTACAAGTTCCTTTATTAATAAAGCAAATTATAAAAGGACAAGGTCTCCAAATGACCCAAATGATTCAAAGTGCAAATTTATTCCAACCTGAAAGAGAAAATGAATGGCAGGCCTTGCCTTTTTTGGGCCATGGAAATTTGATGTGATTAATCTGTCTTTTAATCACACAATTGCAGCAGCAGAATCATATCTGGTTAACTCTTTGGTCTCTGCCATTGGAACAAAATGAATTGAGTGCAGTTGCCAGACTGCATCCTAATATACAGTTTGGGGGTCAGAAGACACATTAAAAACAACAATAAAATAGATTAGGAATGTTTTATGTCAAGTGACGGAATCAAGGCACTTTTCTTTTTTTTTAACAAAAGTTGCTTAAAAATATTCTTAAATATCGGACACTTCAGAAACCAGATTATAGTATCTATCATTTCACTACACATTTTAGTCTATTCTCTCTGTATACAAGGTCACATATTCTTCACCCTCTCCCAACTTGTACTTGCTTTATCCCCTTCCAATCATGTGCTACATACGCATAAAAAAATCAACAGTTGTGTGTAAATGACAAGTGATTTTAAAAAACTAACACCACCACAATGATAACGCTGAACCTGCTTCCCTCATCAGGGACCCTGGAAATGTTAATAATAAGGTTTATTTTCTCCACCACTGGAGAGAGAGGTAACAATCTTTCTCCAGTAGGTAGGGAAGAGATGTCAAAGTCTTCATTAAAGTCAAAAGCGACATGTTACAGAAAAAGCAACTTAGTCCAGGAGGTTAGATGAGACGCTTTGAAAGCACTTAGGTTAATTCCTTCAGAGTGCTAGGATGTCAATTTTGGTTGAAAAGGGATAGAAACATTCAAGAGTGAAGTGTGATCAGAACTGTGTTCTTGGTAGGGGGAAGGGTACAGCCTAAGAAGTTTGCCTCCCAAAACCCAGCACCGTTTTGCTGGTGTTCACAGCCACCAACCATCACTGTAAAGGCACAGGCTAGGATACCCCTAATAAAAAATAATTGATTTTTAAGATGACAGTAAAATTCAAAAACAAAAAAACAAAAAACAAGTTATTCCACAATCCTTCCTGATTACTCACCTGCAGACTCCAACACAGACAAGAAGTTTATCCCAAATCACCAGGAAGGAAATGCCAAGACCTGGCCCCAAGTGGTTTGATTTAGGGATCTGACCTGCAAAGACCAGCTCCAGGATCAAGGGTCCTTCTGGGAATTGTGAGTTAAGTGTTATCTGTGGCGGTGTTAAGTTTTTTTGTTTGTTCCTACAATAAAGCTTAGCTTTGAGACAGAAAGATGATGTGAAAGATCACACTTCCAGCTATATATAACATCACCATATCCATAACAAAAAAATAGAACCTTATGCATACTCGGGGGTGATGACTAGTAAGGTAGGGGTTGCAAACTGGTGGCCCCCAGCCTCAACCAAATGTTGTTTGGCCCACATGGCATTTTGGACATTTTAAAATTATTTGCTTTAAGCAATTTTCACTTTTCCAAAAAGTCCCGATTTCCGACCCCTGCCCCTCTTTCTTCTGCGTGGAACTAAGTAATGGCTGTCCCCTTAGAGGTGGGTGCAGCCCTCACCACCCGCCCACCTCTTCCCTTTGACTTCCCCACCTTGTTTCTGCAGGTTGCTGAGTTTGCCACCCCTGGTTGGAAATAGCACTTACCTAAAAATGTGTTTCTTAACCCAAGCCCCTCTTGCCCCCTCATGTGATTTTTACTTCATCTCCCTCCTCCCATCTCTTCCTTTCATTTCCATCATAAGTCCCTCTTCCCAAATTCTTCCCATTTCTTTTAGTTCACTCAAATTCTACCTTCTTTCAGCTTCAGTTTCATTTTGCAAAAAACATTTCTGCTCAGCCCGTGAGCATTCCAGGAAGGCTCCCGGGACTGGCCAGGGGGTGTTACTGAAGGGTGTCTTCTGCAAAATGACTCACTCACCTTCCCCAAAGACATTTTCTTCAGGCACTGGCTGGACAACTCATTTCTGCTGAGCCTCCTCATTTGAGAATATTTGCGTATGTGAATCTTCAGTACCAAGCATACACCAAAAATGTGTACATTTCAGATGAAGGACATGACAGAGCCCTAATAAAATACAGAACTGAGCTTCATTTACGTGCCTCGGGCCACCATCACACCTGGCTGATGAGCCCCACTATTTCCTTTGTACATAGTACATGTTTTGGCTTACTAAACATTGATCAAAATTGATCGAAATCTCTAAGTTTTGGTTACCATGTACAGAGAACAGCTGCTCAGCATGGCATTTAAATAAAACATTAATATTTTAAAAATTCACAAAGACAATGTCCCATTAATTTAAAAAAATAAAAATTTAAAAACCTTGAGAATGGATGAGGCTTTGGGTAATTAACATAAAAACTACAACAAAACTACAAGAATGGTATGTTATCAGACTTATACTTTAAAACACTATTAAGATGAAAAAGGACTCAGCTAGAGATATTTGGAAAATTCAACTTTTTAAAGCTCTGTAAGATTCCTCCAACGCCCTCACTGTCCCCACTCCAGTAGACAATGAGATGGAGAAGTTATGGCTGAGTATGGGAAAAAAAAATATATATATATATGTATAATATGCATATATAAAAGATCTACTCTTGGCATTTATTTTAAAAACTAATTAAAAAAAAAAAACTGTGCAGCTTCTATTGTGCAGGAAGCTGGTAGACTGATCCCTTTGCTCAATGCAGTACCTTATGACCTAACACTGACCTCAAAAGCTGGGAATGACCTTTGTGGGGCACTGTCCCCAAGACAACCTCAGAGACACAGCACAACATCTGCAGTTGTTTTTCTTTCAGTCCAAGGTTGCAAAGGATGTGAGAAGCCAATGCAGCTCTCAGGAGAAGGAGTCCCTGTAAATCACTCTTCACAACGATTTCCCACAGCGGCCAAGTGGGTCCCCTAAAGAAAGAAGGTTTATAGAGTTCCCTCAGAAGAGCTCAGAAATTAAACAATGGTCGTATTCACATAGCTATTTTTGTCTCTCAGATTGTACCTTTAAGAGTCTAAGGAAGTACATGTCTTTATTTTTTAAAAAAATTATAATAACACTGGGACCGACTGCATTTCAAATCAGGCAAGCAGATGATGGACCATTCTGAATTCAGACTGTGATTGAAGGCTCTTAGAAATTTGGAAGGACAAGGAAACATTACAGAATGGGCTCCACCTGGCTGCAGAATACACCCAATCCAGTCATATTTATGCTCAAAGGGAAAAAAGAGCAGACTGCCATCAAGGGCTGTGTCACTTTCTCTTCCCTAACTTGTCTCTTCTATCCACTGATCAGGGAGAAACCGATCTTCAAGCACAGAGCCTAAGACACTGAACTAGAAGGGACACAGTTTGCAAGTCCTGTGCTGAGTCAAAAGCTCCTTGCAGTTGGTGCCTTGGGGCCACATAAGGCTGCCACGGCAAAGGAGAGAAAAGCCTTCTGCCCACTAGCATTGATGGAAAGTGCTAACTACATGCTAGGCACTGCGGCAAGTATTTCCTTTTCATTATTAGCTCAGAAAGAAATCTCTTTGCAAAAGTTTCCTAAAGTCTTAAAACAAAACAAAAAGGGTTCTGTCTCCCGCTGGCAGCAAGCTCTTTACCTTTACAGGCAAAGACCAAAACGTATCTTTCTGCAGAACCAACATGCTTTATGCCCTCACTAGTGTTGTCCTGAATATATATTTTGTTGCTACTTTGCCCCATGCCTGGCCTGGAGTAGGTGCTCAATGAACGGTGTTGATTGATGGGCACCTATCCCAGCTTTGGTTGGCAGGGATGTTAAGTAAGCATGCTGACCGCTTCCCAAGGCTGCACATTTCTTAGAAATAAACGTTAACTGGTCTGCCTTTCAGATACAACACGCAGTGCTAGCAATTATCATAAAATGAGCGAACTGGTCAAAATAAAGTGCTATTTGCTCTGGAAGCTTCTCTAACCAACTCTTGATTGCCACACGTGTGACTTAATTTTTGACAATCCTGTCAAACATCTGTGATTGCACCATTTAAAAATACATTAAAATAAATTTGAATAGTGGAAATCAGGTTCCTCAGAACATTAACCCCCAGAATAGAATCAGAGTTCCAGTTGTTGATAGATTCTTCTTCTTCTTTCTTTTCTTTTTCTTTTTTTTAAGATAATCGGAAACCTAGTACCCAGCAAGTAGCTATGCCTGAAAATATTAGTTTAAAAAAAAATTGGGGCAGAGATTTGTGTCTGAAAACCGACAGAAGGCACTTTCCCTGCAGCTAAAGCTTTTCCCTGCAGAGAAAGCAAGAGAAAGCTTTTCTTGCTTTCTCTGACGAACTCGTTTAAAAGCTAGAAACTTCTACACTCACTCCACACAGCCCAACGTTTGAACCTACTCTTGAAGGCTGCAATTGGGTGTCTTTCCACAACTTGCCCAAGGCACTTTAGTGGGTGTGAAGATACTATATTATATTGGATTGTGAAGCCAAGGGTGACATTTAAACCACCAAAGCCTGTGGCATCCTCTGATTTCCAGCAGCTTCTGCAATCTTGGATTTAACAGGCTTCCCTGCCATCCCCACCCAGTGGGAGAGGCTTTAGGAGAATTTGGTCAGGTGGGGGTGCTGTCAGGGTTTACGGTTCCCCTTCAGGGAACCCCTGGGTGTGCTGACTCCGGGGTGGGGGGCTCCTGGCAAGGTAGCGTGGACCCCCGTAGGACCGCAGAAGCTGGGGTAGCCTGCGCCACGTGGACAGCAACCGCGCTGCTGCGAGTTCCCGCGCTTGCGGGTCAAAAGCCGCCAGGACGTCAACGGGGGCGGCTTCGCGTAGTACCTTGGGCAGGGGGCCCACCTCAGCGGCCGCCCCACCGGGACCCAGGACACAGTGGAAGAGCGTGTGGCGTCGCAGCAGGCAGTCCCTAAGGTACTGCACCAGCTCCTCTAAACACTCGTTTAGGTGCGTCTCATCCCAGCTTTGTGCAAGGGACCCCTTGCGCAGCAGCACCGCCAGCAGCGCTGTCTTGAGCACGTATGAAGACAGGATGCGTCCCCACTGGGTGGCAGCCGCTGAGTCCAGCCCACGGGCACCCAGGTCGCGCAGAGCCTTCAGCAACTGCAGGCACTTGAGGTAGCAGGCGCCTGGAGGGGCCCGTTCCTGCAGCCAGCCCAGCAACTTCTGCTCCTGGCGAGCTGTGTTCACACCCCACAGTGCCTCGGCGCGCAGGCCCCCCGGGAGCTCTGACAGGGGCCCGCCAGGCAAGGGTGGCGGTGGCGGTGCCACAAGGAAGACCCCATCTCCCACATGGACTGCGGGGATGAGGCGCACGGCCATGGAAAGGCGGCAGCAGCCATAGTCCGTGCGGCAGGGCAGGATGTGTAAAGTAGGGGACTGTTCCAGGCCGCCCGGAGTCAGGGTGACCCGACAGCGCCCCTCCAGGCTGTAGCGCACCGTGGCCAGGGAGCGCTGCAGGTGCGACTGGAACCAGCGCAGCACCAGCGCCGCGGATAGGTGGCGCCGTCCGTGTACATCCACGCAGAAGCCATCAGCGAAGGGTTTGCAGTCCCGAAGCCAGTGGCCCCCAGAGGCCCCAGATGGCGAGGGCGGTGCCTTGAGGGCGCACACGAAGCAAGCCCGGAAGGCTGGGGCCAGCGCCGGCTCCGCACCCAGGCTCCGTGGCTCCAGCGCCACCATCGGCGGGAGGCGCAGCGGCACCAGCACGTCGAAGCCGTCGGGCCGGCGGATCTTATGCTGCTCGTAGGCGCTGCCCACTTGGATGAAGTCTCCGCGGAAGGCCAAGGCCAACGCCCCCCCGGGGATGGGGCCTGGGGACCCCCGGGCGCGGCCGGCCCGCACCAGTTCACCCACGATCCGGCTCACGTGCGCCTTGCTGTGACCCAGCACGTGCGGAGACAGGCGCACCTCGTGCTCGTAGTAACTCTCCAGCAGGATGCTGAGGCCCGGCTCTGGTAAGTGTCTCCGGGAGAAGGCGGAGTGACCCCCTAGGCGAGAAGCTCCGGGCAGGAAGCGCTGCCGGACAGCGTGGCGGCAGCGCAGGAGGACGTAGCCGAGGGCCAGCAACACCGCCGCCTTGAGCAGCGAGAAGCCGCCGTCCGCGCCGTCGGGCGGCTCTGCCCGAGCGCCCCCGCTTTCCCGCAGGACAAGGTAGAGGCACACCAGGGCGGTGCCCAG